GAATAATGCAAATCGATGATCCAGATGAGAAATATAATCAGATAGACGGCCATGCTCAAAAGAAGGCCAAGTTGTGGCTTGAGTAGTGAATGGTATTACTTTCGAGATGATGGCATCCCGTGGGATTGCTTATAAACGCGCCTATAGGAATGCGGTCAAAGAAGCACAAGAAATGTTGTATCAAAAGATAGGTAGTTCATATGAAATATTTCATGGTGAATGGCTTAGCTACGAGATATTCATGGCAAGTAACCCTGTCGAGGTATTATGGGAGAAATTTATGAAATGCGCTAGGAAAATTTCAAAAGATAAAAACCTCTTGATGGATGACGAAATGAAGGAAAAAATATGCTCTGATTTTGCTCAATATTCTAGCAGGCTTGTAAAATGTATCGGAGAGTATAATTTATTCTTTCACAAATTGGTCTATCATATACGTTATAAAGAGCATGTATCAATTCCAGAAGAAATCGGCCCAGTTTCATCCATGCGAAAAGATGAGATAATTGTTGGCCTACCCACCTTACCTCATATATCAGAAATTGAGGCGCTAGATGGTATTAGTAATTTATGGTATTTCCATCTTGAGGGTGTAATCGAGCTGGAGGCGCTAGAGCAAAGCACTTAAATGGATTATATGGATAAGTACTCTTAGCGGATGTGACAATTTCAACTAAGAAAACTTATATTATTTACATATTTTTTCTCGTATAATAATGCCGGCTAACTTCAATTTTTATTTTCGAACTTCCGGCCTAAGATGGTCACTCCAAACTTCCGGCCTCCGATCATACATCCCGACCTCGGATATGTCCGGAGATAATCATTAGTATTTTTCGAAAATAATAATTTGGCAAAACCGTTAACTAGTTTACGATCAACCAAAAATATACATCATATTAACATCATTTTTAAACATAAGCTTTATTGGTATAATGGCTGAACTACGCGACCAAGTTTCCCAGTACATAGGCTTCGAACCAAATGAAATTCGCCTCCCGATCACAGAAGAGGATAGGTGGCTATTTAGTAAGATAATATCAGATCAGAAAGGAATGGCAGATATCGTAATGGGTGACTATCGATTTTTACAACATCATGGGCATAATGGTAAGGGAGGTGATTTGATTCATATTGGATGGTTATTTGCATGTACGATGGCCCAAGCTAAAAAAGTCTTGATAAATCCGTCTGAGCGCCAAGCCGAAAGAGATTTATCAGAAAAGGTATTAGCTCATATCCAAAAAAGATTCGAAGAAGTCCCATTAGCGCCAGTACTTATACGGTAGTCGATTAGGAATTGAGATAATAATGATCTGGTTTCTGGTCCCTATTTATGTAATTTCCGTAGGTGAAATATTGGTTACTTTTTTTCCGCGAATTCCACCATTTTCTGGCCATGAACCATATAATCGCAATAAGTACTAGGGTAAGTATAGAATATGTTACCATCGGCGATATTAAGGAAGTCGCAATGATAGGAGCACTTGCTGGTAAAGATACCGCTTCAGCACCACCTATAGATATTGTCGGGTCAAGAGTGGGAAGTTGCAATGAATTATTCATAGGCGGGGGTAGAGGATCTACTTCATTATGCGAAGCACCTCTTGGTTCTTTTTTTAATGCTAACTGGTCTTTAAGGGACCTATTTTCCTCCATTAATTTTAATCGTTCTGAAGACCGAATATCTATTTCCCGTTTGAATATGTTATTTGACGTCTCTATCCCTTTTTCCATACATTCTATTTCATGCTTTTTTGAATTAAGGTCCTCATTCGCTCGCTCCAATTCAAGCTTAAGAGAATCAATCTCTTTGGGATTATCCATTTCAGATGAGTTTATTTGGGCCGGCTCATCTATTAACCCCCCTACTACATTCGAATCATGGAACATCTGATCCGGTTTCAAGTCCTCCAACTTACCTTCCAATTCACGTACTTTAATTTCAAGAGAAAGAATCTGGATCTTGTCATTGAACGAAGCTTTCTGAGCCAAAGTTGCCTCTCTCTTTAATGTTTTAATATTGGATTTGAGTGATTTGATTTCGGCAGTATATCTGGCTTCAAGCTCACGTTAACTCTCAGAATGAGACTTCCGTTCAGAAATAAGTTGGGATCTAACTTTAGTAGTGGACGCAATTAACTGGCTAGCTTTATTTTCAAACTCTTTTTCTCGCTCATTGTACTTATCTACCAGCTTTTCACTGAGATCATTAATTTCAGCTTTAGATTTAAGAGCGGAATATAATTTTTCTTTAAGCTCTTGCTCATATGCACCACCAAGTCGTTGGCCGACCCCCTTGAAGGAACCATCGCCTTTATTATTAATATCATTCAAGGTATGTACATTGATCATAGCCTTTTTTTTCGGCTTAGTTGCTAGTATATTAAAAAATATGTGACTAAAAATTTTTTATAGGATAGCTGGATCCCATAATGCGTATAGCACTGATACTCCTGATACTCTCAATACTTCTGATACTCCATGTAGTATTAATTTTTTATGCATATTTTTACTAATACCACAAATAGTCTCCATACCATGCGTAGAACTAATCCTTCCGATACTCCGCATAATACTGATTCTCTACATAGTTTTGATAGTCCGCATAGTCCACATAGTATTAATATTTCGCATACATATTTTTTATAAATAGTATAAAAATCCAATCGACTACCAATATGATTAACCCTCCACCTAGAAGGTATATGCGCTCTGACGCCACAAAATTATCATCTGCAGATTACGAAGATATCATGCAATACCGGGATATGAAGTCCAAGCCCTTGGAAGAATTAAGAAAGAAATTTCATATATCAACCTCTCGCTTATACCAGATTTGGAGAGGGCAGGAGGTAGGAAGGGTCGAATGGAACTATTCGGCAGTCCCACTTTCTTATTCGAGTAAAAATAATATAGATAGACAGGACATACCTGAGGTCCCAGCAGAGTGTATCACCGTTGAAAGTAAGGTAAAAAAGACTGGAGGAAAAAAAACTAAGTCTAAATCCGTTCGTATCTCTGAATCAGCTGTTATTCAGACACCACTAGCTTCAGCGCCAAGCCGAAAGGAAAGTTTAAATATAAGCAATGAGGAATTAGAAGCATTTTATGAGAAAGAAGATAAGAGAGACAGAAAAATCGCGGAAGAACTGAATAGGATACTAGCTACGTAAAAGATGTTTTTCATTTAGTTCGATATAACGTGATAACAGCTCCTCACATAGTCCGTTGAGATTTTCTTTAGACTTAAGAGTGCTATATAGCATTTTTTCGAGCTCCTTGTAACTCACTTTTTTTTTAATGTCTCATCTTCACTTATGTCCTGCGAGTTCTGAGAAACTTTGTCCGGAGCTGACAGATCATCACATTCGGAAGTAATGTTCGCACAATTCACCTCGAGCTTGTTCTTGACTTTATGCATAGTGACTGGGATAATATAGTCCTTTCCATTAAGAGGGAACTTTAGCTCGTTGGTCTTCCAATCCATCGCGCAATTGTATTTCTTTAAAAGTTGGTTGGAAAATATTAGTGTCGGCTTGTGATATTTCACAACAATAAAATCCTCATGGATAGTACAGCCTGGGGCTAGAGTAACAGGTAAATTACGAACAACTCCAACAGATTCAACCGGAACAGTAGCAATGCCACTAAGATCGTGTGTTTCGGATTTATCAATTTTAGCTCCCACGCGTATAACGATATTTTCTGTTATAATGGGAGGCTCAGCCCCAGAATCGACTGTCATGGCTGGAATCTTCAAGCGCTTAATTTTGCACTTTATAGTCGCAACACTTGTTTTTGGCTCCTTTTTCTGAACGAAATAGATTTCCATAGGATCATCTAAGGACTCTTCCTCTAGACTGGACTCATCCAGAGATGAATCTTTAGAAGCCGAAGGGATATTATTTTGAGATACCATCTTCGACTCCATAGGAGCCACTATCTGTTTAAACGCAATGAGACTGCTGGAAGTGCCTCCGGCAGAATCTTGGAAAAAATGTGCAGGAAAGATTAATTTAAGTTCACTTTGAAGGACTTTACGAATAGTTTCCTCTAGTGGTATTTCTCTCGACTTGGCGCTAGACATCTCTTTAGAGGATGATTTCTTGGATTCACTTCCCTTCTTCACTTTTTTTTTGATTTAGTTATATGAACATTAAGATCGTCATCAGAATCGGAAGAATTGGAGGAACTTGTATCAGAATCAGAACTATCGCTAGATGAGCTATTACCTGATGAAGAATCTGAATCTGAATCTTCAGTAGCGAGATTGACCTTACCTTTCTTCGACTTCTTGCTTTTCTTTTTCTTCTTTACAGAGCACTTACGAGAAGTGTGTCCAAATCTACCGCACTTGGTACATTTCTTAACAGCACGTCTAACAGCAGATTTGATAGCATTTATTGTGGCACTATTTAGTGTCATGCC